GGGCGGCCCCCCCCCCGGGCCCGCCGCTCCCCTGTCCTCCCTGCGTCTTCCTCGCCTTCCCCTGCAGGCTGCTCCCCTCGCCTGGCTGGGTGGGCGGGCGGGCGGGTGGGTGTCCCCGCAGCTCCCGCTGCCCCTGGGCTGGGCACAGGCGGTCTGTGCGCCCGGGGACACCCGGGGAGAGCAACTTCGAGGGGAAGGGCAAAGCCCTGCCCCTGGGGAGGAATAAGCCAGGCACTGGTACAAGTTGGGGGCCACCAGGCTGGAAAGCAGCTTGGCAGAAAAGGACCTGTGGGTCCTGGTGGGCACCAGGTTGGACATGAGCCAGCGATGTGCCCTTGCTGCAAAGAAGGTGAATGATACCTTGGGCTGCATTAGGCAAAGCAATGCCAGCAGGTGGAGGGAGGTGATCCTGCCCCTCTGCTCAGCGCTGGTGAGGCCACACCTGGGTGCTGGGTCCAGGTCTGGGCTACCCAGTACCAGACAGACATGGGCATACTGGAGAGAGTCCAGCGAAGGGTCACGAAGATGGTTAAGGGACTGGAGCACCTCTCCTGTGAGGAAAAGCTGAGAGAGCTGGGACTCTTCATCCTGGAGAAGAGCAGGCTCAGGGGGATCTCATTCATGTGTACAAATACCTGAAGGGAAGATGCAAAGAGGATGGAGCCAGGCTCTTTTCTGCGGTGCCCAGTGCCAGGACCAGAGGCTACGGGCACAAACTGAAACAAAGGAGGTTCCCTCTGAGCATCAGGAAACACTTTCTACTAAGAGTCACTAAGCCCTGGCGCAGGTTGCCCAAGGAGGGTGTGGAGTCTCCATCTCTGGAGATACTCATCTGAACACAGTCCTGGGGAACTTGCTCTGGGTGGCTCTGCTTGGTCATCTCCAGAAGTCCCTTCCAATCTCAGCCATTCCGTGAGTCTGTGGCTCCTCCTCACCCCACAGCACTGTGCCCCTCCAGTGGAGGGATGGGGGCCCTCAGTGAGGATAAGGGAGCCACTGAATAAGCAAGGGAGCACAGCAATGTCCTTTCTGTTCTGCAGGAGGGTTGAGGCCTCCATACTCTTTACAGTGACCCCTTCATTTAGGCCACACCCAGGAGCGTGGCTTCAACTCCTCCTGCAGAATATACAGCATGTAGCGTTTGAGGAAACTCTCTCCCCAACATGAGGATGCCTCAGTACAAGGATATGAAAGGACTCTTCCTTCTCCTTTGCCAACAGCCATGTATGGACCTAGAGAACATTCATTCTGTCAAGGGGAAAAAGGGCGGAGGGGACCTCTGTAATAGAGATCTCCCCTGGGCACTGGGCCAAACACTTGCATCAGTGACAGCAAGAGGGCTTGGGACCCAGCGCTGACAGCCTGCAATCCCTGATAGCAACCAGGGAAGGTAACAGGGGCAGTCAAATAGAGTTGCTACAATCATAAGTGGAAGTGCCCCTTGCTTACCATCCTTGGCCATTTAAAGCCAGTGGCCAGCCCTCCATGCATTCTGGTATCCCAAAAGGATAACATCCTGATCCTGTGCTATTGATCCACAAGGTTTGATCTAGGTGTGGACCTCATTGTGCTTCAGTGTTCCCCAGCTCAGCAGCAGTACCTGTGATTCCTGTGCAGGGCTGACATGCGAGCAGAAATTATCATCAGTGTGAGAGTGAGATGGAAGGAGAAGGACTGAGCTGGAACTTCATTAATGAAACAAGAGAGTACTGTTCATGTGCTGTGTGCAAGGTGAAAAGAAAATAGGACAAAAGAAGTAGAATGTACTGGATTGGGGTTTTTTCAAGATCAGAACAGAAACACAAGTTTTCTTCTGCAGGATCATTAGTTACTATCTTCACTATTGATGGCTGAAAGGAATATATACTACTCAAACAAACTACAACCATGGTGCAGCTTATTGAGGCAAAAAAAGCAAATAGATATTTTTCCTCATATAGTGAGCACCTGACAGCAGTACAAACAGAAAACTCGGATTTTTTAACATGAATTTTAGTCACATGAGATATCATGTTTTATATGCATACCCAACTCCCATACCGAACTGGCTTTATTGGTTGTTAAATTTTATCCCCTAATCACTTCTTAAATGCATACTAGTTGTTTCTGTTAATGTGAGTCTCTTTGAATCATTGCTCAACCACATGGGGAAAAAACAAACATTCCCCTAAATCATCACTGATTCTGCTCCATCTGACTGGAAATTCATTTTGCTCTTCAAACAGTCTCACATTTTGAAAAAAAAAAACAGTCCTAGGAGGCTGGGTTCATTCCCTTGCTCCTTGAAACACAGCACTTCATTCATGCCCTCTATTAAGTCCTTTCCTGCAGTAGCTTTCCTGTGGGATGTCTGTTCTAGAATTTCACACTTATGAGGGGCACCATTATCAGATCGGCAAGTTCCTGTTTTGCAATAAATACTTTTCATGGCTTTCCATACTTTTCATGGCTTCCATTCATAACTGAACTTAAGAACTAAGCTACTTATATTTGTTGCCCTTCCTTTTAACCTTTCCATTCTTTCCATGTCTCTCTGCAAAATTAGGCATAGCAGGTGAAGCCTTACTAAATAGTTGGCATTTCTTTATTCCCATATGTCTGCTGGGTTGTTTTCTGTGGAAATATCCTATTTCTTCCATAGTATCTGCCAGGCATAGCATGATCTAATCAGCAGATTAGATTCCACTGAAGATTCCTACGACTTCCTTAATGGTGAAGTGTGTCAGTAACAGAGGAGTTCAAGGATATGTCTCCACAATGAAGTGGAGCACGGGACAGAGCCCTCACTTTTAACTCCAACCACAAATGTGGGTATTGATCTGCCCAATGTCTGCACAAGCCAACTCATTCATTTATGGACCCAGCTTCAAGTGAAAGGATTGAGACAACCAGATGGAGATAGTGACACGATCTAAGCCGTGTTCAAGATCAGTGGCATTTGGTCTTCTTTAATGATGTAGGCACTCTTGAAAGTGTTGTGCTCTGTCAGTCCTTTTTTGTTCCTATGTATAGTATACTGACAGTGCCCTATGCGCTGCCCTTTGCCACGTATTGATCTACGGTGCAATCATCTAGGAAAACTCACTGTTCGAGTGTTACATTACCTGATACAGTTGTCCCAAGGCATCCACTTCCACTTTAGAGTTCTTTCCTCTTTAATTAAGTGTGCTCTTTGTGGGGATCATATGGTTTATGCCAGCCGTCTGTGTTCCGTCTCTCTGTTAAACTGACCTTATATCAATCTTCAGAAGCTTTATTATTACTAGACATCTAAAGTTTAAGTTTGTGTAGAAGCTCCAAATAGTTGACTTTACTATGAAAAGATGTTAAATATATAACTATAATACACATAAACCCAGTCTTTATTCTGTAAAAATGCATTGCTTGTGGCGTTTGCTACATTGGCTCAGCATACCAAAAAATCTGTAGGGAGGCATAGATATGGCCCTCAAGCTAGTACCAAATGGATGGGCAAAAAGCAGAAGCCCAGCCAATGTGACCTTCGTAAGTGACCCGGCACCTCACCAGCAGAAGCAGGAGCAGGGCACCTCTCTTCTGAATCCTGATTCAGCCTTTGATTCTGTGGAACATGCTGACTTCTTGTTTAACTGGGATTAATGATCACACCCTTTGATGATACCAGGAAAAAGAAGCTCAGGCACAGATGAAGGACTTAACAGTTACTCTTTGAACTCAGAGGAGAGTAGTTCAGAAACAGCGGAGTCTCTGGCATTCCCTTTTATCAAATGAGAAACGGCATTTTGAAACATATTTGGTACAATACTTAATCCTAGTAAGACTGCAAACAACTATACTTGTATGTCCTATATCTAGATGTACTTACTATTGTTTGTTATACAGTTACTGATTTTTTTCAAAAGACAATATACCTTCCCTAAACACCTTAAAATGTATATACTAGGAAAACCAGGCCTGAACCAAAGTTCTGCATCCAAACACTGTGAAATGCCTATGTGTAAATTGTCATTAATGACTAGCAACATTTTTTTAAGAGGTTACATTTCAACAACTGTACTTATTGCTTTCACCACTCCAAAAGGGATAGTCCAATGCAGAGAACTGTACACGTTACTACAAAATTGGTAGGAAAAAGAAAAGCAGAATTACATACAAGTTGTTTTAAACTATGCATTCCTACCAGCAGGACTCTTTGCAGACCACAGAACTGACAGTTATTTCTCTGATTTGAGGGATGAGAAATTCAGACTGTGACATGATCATATTTCCTTTATTATTCACTTTTTTCTTTATTACCTTGCTGCCAGCATAGAGTAGTTGAGGGCATGCAGGACTTAATATTATGATAAGGAAAGAAATGTTCTGTGTGATATTACAGTATTCCATTTGGGGCAATTTAGAGTCCATTTATGCCTCTCTAAACCAGATCTCAGTTCTTGCCAAGGTGTCCTGAAAGAAAAGGCAATGTCCATACAGCAGCATAGGCAACTGAAGGGATCAGGAGCATCTAGCTTTTTCACTGAATAGGGCTTCCTATTTTGCGTCCTGCGTTGGACTACGAGGTTGGCCAGCAATCATCTCTCATGCGGTCTTGTTTCTATCTTTATTTCTTGACAGGTTACCCTCTCAAATAAGTTTGATTCTTTTCCAAACTTAGAAGTGTAAGCAGAAAGTTTCTGCTGACCATTAAAGCACAAGCTTATATAGAACAAAATTGAAAATCTCTCTGCACATTTTAAAAGGAACTAGTTCATTACAAGGAATAATACTCCAGTATTCCTGGAATGATATTAATTACCTATCATTTTTTTCTGCAGCTGAAGTAATGCGTTACAAAAAGGAAAAGGGTGGTCAGGTAGTATAAATAGTCCAAGATGAAAAGGTAAAGAGAGACCGTTTTCAATAAAGGGACCGTTTATAGCAAAGAGAAACCATTTACAGTGAAAGACTCCGTGTGTTTGCAAGTCAGGTTTACACTGGCAAATGCTGTCCTGCAAACACTGCAAAATATGTCATCTGGATTCCAGTTTCCCCTTACATCCACACCAAAGGGTGGTTTCAGTGGCCTTGTGTGTTTTATTGTCTGTATGTCTCTAAATTTGTGCTTCTTGGCTTTGCCAGCTAATAGGATAGCAGGCTGGTCCTGCACACACTTCACACATTTCATTTTACAATATACATGTTTTTGGGGGGAATTAAAAGATTGACACGTTGATCTGAAAGTGTGCACACAAGTTTTTCTACAGTACAAGTAGAAAACTCTTACGTGCAAAATTGCATCTCTAAGAGTGCACAAGAGATG